CGTATGTTAACGGACGGTCTACTTTCACTCGAGATCACCAGATTTTCTTCTGTGCGCACTAGAGTGGAATTTTATAGGTAGGGAAAGGAACTAACTAAATCGGGCACGTGTCGAACGGTTCGATCATTAACGTCCCCAGGCAATCCGATCAAAACCACCACACAAAAGGTCCAAAGGACACCACTCTACCTCTTTCACCTCCTAGTAAATGTGTCAGTGATAAGTCACAGTCTCACCACCTAAAGTTTTTGCCGCACTTAAACTGCCCGATGTAACTTTTTCGGAGATGATTCTCCAATCAATAGCACTCGAGTAAAAAAACCGCGTAGTCGAACTTACTGGTGATTTTTCCAAGAATCAAAAGAGACTCTCTCACTGAGTGGAATGCCTTATATACCGTCGGCTCTCCTGTCGCTGATCCCCGCTCTCTCTCTCTCTCTCGGTAATCGCCCACTTCCTGTTGATGCCAGAGTTGTAGACGCCATGTTTCGTGCAGATGATAACGCCATTCGTGCTCCCGAGATTTAGCAGGATTTGTGTTGACGGTTGCTTAAAACTAGATTTCCCTATCTAAGTTTTTTTTTATAATTCTTGTTTGGGAGTAATCTAGTCGCGCCTTCGATTAGTATCCTAGCTATTAACAGAAATTAAAGGACGTTTAGTTGTAGCATACACCGCTATCTTTTATTTATCAATTCATTTAATTTCTGTTGGGTTTTAATACCATTTCAATGAGTTCAATGTCATTTGAGGAAAAACAATGTTTATCATAGATAGGTTGTGCCCTGGTTTTATTTATATATTATTTTTACTGCACCTATTTCCTAGTGAGATCACTCCCCTTCCATAGCTTCTCATTCATTTCTAACAAAGCTACGTTTCTAGCGATTGAAAACGCGCCCTAACGCCTGACAGTGCCATTACGCGCAATGGATGAAAAACCATGGGACTCATTTAGGTAAAGACGGAATGTTGATTGAAAGTTTTGAATACAAACAAATCATTTAACTTCGGACTATCCAAGAACGAGTTGTAACCCATTGGTTACAATACTCCCCGGGTCAAAGGGAAAAAAATCGATTTTTTTTTTGTCAAATATTTAGATAGGATTATTCCAATGTTCTCAATAAAGAATTAGCATATAGAGACAAAACATACGAACGAATGTAATAACCTGTAATTGCTTCTATTCCAGTCAGAAAAATTTGTCGAGACTTCCTTGCTCGTCAAATCAAACCTCCACTTTCCTGCATTTGATAGAGACCAAACAAATTGGGAGAACGCCTCTATGCTACTCTAGCTATATATGAGCAAAACAAAACAAAACTGCTCTTTTTTTCTAAAAGATTTTCTAATAGTTTAGAAATTCTAATCAACACATTCATTCCCGCACTCACTCCATTCCACTCATTCTCTTGTTGAGGCCTCTAAACATTTAATCTCTTTCACCCTATTCACGATCACTCTTTTCTTTCACACTGCTGATTATATCTTAACCATCCTATGCCTATACCCATACCCAATGAATATACCTAATTGCACGCATATTATCTACTCAGGTCGACCTATCTGTAAACGATTTATCCAAAACCGGGTGAACTCCGCGTCCGGAGACTTTACTAGTGATTTCCCATGCATGCATGATATGAGAACTACCTACGAAATCTCTGTGGTGGGGAATAAAACTGACGTGTGTTTCGGGACTTAAGGAGTATCATCTATTCCGCAGTTGACGGGTTACCCGCAAACGCGTTGGTTGTAAATCTATTGGCTTTTACCTAACATGGATTTGACCAGATTTGATTCTGGACATAGAATTTGTTTCCAAAGGATATTCCGTGTTTGCCTTAGAGGACGGAGTTTTCAGGCATGATTCCACGATTTTCTAAAACTACGGACTATTTACGAAATCTAATGATAAACTTTATCCTACGAAATAAATTAACAGGGAGTGATTCGACGAGATGGTTACCTGACCTTTAGTGACCTTCATAGTATCAGTGCGAGTGTGATGATCCGCTCAAGCAAAGATCGGTCAAATTGTGTTGCTTTCTAGAATTTGTGGACTGGTGCTACTATTATGAGTTTGTTCATCCTGGTTTCAGGTGAACTGCGGGCCAGATACCTAAGGATTTTCCCTGTAAATCCTCTAAGTCGTAGGAAGATGATCCAATCTTGGTTTTAATTTTGCATGGCAAATACTGTGAGCCATATTTGGCGTTATAGTGGTCTATAGCGCTGGAAAGTCGTATATTTTTGCGATACACCAACTGCCCGGGCTGAAAGGCCTTTGGAAATCGTCGGTGTCGCAGATTATAGTGCTTTCGACAGGTTTCGTTGGCCTTAGCCAAATTTGACTTAACTTTGGCGTAAATGTCACCAAAATGGTTAGATTTTTGCTCTTCCAATTGATCGGATGGGGGGATCTCTTGGTGTCTAACCCGCCTGTGATCTGCACCATGAAGAAACATTTCATGGCCGTGCGTCACGTAAAACGGAGTGAAATTGCTAGAACTGTGAACACTAGTATTTAAAATGGTTTCAACTTCGATCAGTCGTGTGTCCCACAGTCGTTGATTGCTTCTAGCGTATGTTCTTATGGCCGCATTCACTGTCCGGTTAACCCGTTCCACCGGGTTGGCCTGAGAGTGATACCGTGAATTTAGCCAATGTTGGAATCCAAATTTTTCCAACAAACCCTTAAATTCCCGAGACAAAAAACTAGCACCATTGTCGGTGATAATAATTTCCGGCGTTGAATTGCGATAAAACCAAAGATCTTTTAAAGTGGAGCAGAGGCTGGAACATTCAATGCGGCGCAGGGGTTGAAGTAAGACCCATTTGCTAAAAAGATCGGAAACTACTAAAAGATATTGATTTCCCTTTTTACTGCGGGGCAGTGGACCCACGAAGTCCGCAGAAATAATCTGCCAAGGATGTTCTGACACCCGCATTTCCCCCATAGGCGGAGTCACAGGAACGGACGGCCCTTTGACTTCTTTGCATGTTCCACATTCTTGAACATGTTGCTTAATATCTTGGGCCATTTTTGGCCAGTAGAATCGTTGGCGAACTCTGGCTAGAGTTTTTTCATAGCCAAGGTGCATGGCGTCATCGTGATTAGCCTGCAAAATTTCTAATCGACATTCGGGTGGAGGCACTGTTTTCCACTCGTATCGCCTGTCACAGAGAGAATTTTCAGCGGACACGAATTTTAAAAGTTGACCGTCCGTGACTCTGAAGTTCACATAACCGTCGGGGTTTTCGAGAACTTTCCGACGTAGGGAAGTATACCACAAAGAGTCCGTGGCATTTGAAATAGCAGCAACACTCCGTGATAATGCATCCGCGACTACGTTATCCTTTCCTTTGCGGTGGATGATTGTCATATCGTATTGCTGCAAATTCAAACTCCACCGGCTACACCGTGATCCTACTCTCCAGGACGTAGTCAGAATGTGTGTGAGGGCAGATGAATCTGTCACTAAGGAAAAGTGACTACATTCTATCTAACCACGAAATGCCTCAATAGCCAGTAATGCAGCCAATGCTTCTTTTTCCGCAGGATGATAGTTGCGCTGTGGGGTTGTCAATTTATGTGAAAAATAGGAAATCACCCTTTCCAGACCATTGTGGTTCTGAGTAAGTACCGCGGCGACAGCAACATCAGAAGCATCGGTCTGTAAAACAAACTCTTGACTAAAATCTGGGCTACAGAGAACAGGCGCAGTGATGAGGCACTCCTTCACGACATTGAATGCCAGCTCTGCATTTTCGGACCATTGGATTGCTTTATTTTTAGTTTTAAGCAACTCAGTTAGGGGTGCGACAACTCCACTAAAATCAGGGATAAAGCGTCTGTAATAGTTCGTCATCCCTAGAAACCTTCTTAATTTAGTTATAGTCACAGGGCGTTCGTATTCCACTATTGGACGAACTTTTACAGGGTTGGGTTTGGGCAGGGTTTTAAATTACAATCACAAGTGCAGGTACTTGTTAAAGCATGGGTTATGATTGATTAGGTGAATTAGATATATCAATTATTTATTAAATTAGACTGATGAGATATCCTAATCATCAAACGAAATTAAATAAGAAAATTCAAACCATTCCTAGTTGCAGTCGACTTCTAATTAAAATCTTAATGTTAAAATAAAGCACAATTATTCGTTTAATCACACGGCATCCTTTTACTAACAACTCAATTCCAAGCAGCACTTGTTACATATCTCTATGAAAAAAAAACTCTCCCAAACTACAAACAAAAAAATACACTCCAGCAAATAACACACTCTGTCATCTGTCTTACAAATGAAACACATAATTATGTCAGATGATATGAATTAATTGCTTCTTGTCTTCGTGTCCAACCGAGCAAAGTTCTAACCAGTGAGGGCGGCGGTGGTGGCAGACTCACTCGCTTTCTACGCTAGAGGCAATCGCGTCTGGCTGCAGCTGGTGGTGCTTTATTTTCCCCGGCAGCCCCAGAAGCTTTCATTCTCTTTCTGTGCCAGTAGTTCACTGTCTTATCAGAATCGCACATTTTTCCACGCGCGCACTCACTCACTTGGGACTGTGCACTCACTTCTATTACTTCCCAGCAAAAAAAAAAACGTTGAAAAAAAATAGAACACTAGAACAGCTCCTCAGAGTGATAGCCTGGTCAGTTCTGCCACCGAAATGCTGTTGGGGCGGAGGAGAAATTATGATTCCCGGTCTTGCGAAAAGAATGCAAAAATATTGCACTCTGGAAACGCGCATTGCACCGAGACTGCAAGTCACTCTTAGGAAGATACATTTAATTAAAGCTAATTTATGGTAGTACTTTGGGAGGAGCGGAAAAAAGTGTGTTCATCTTACTTTCGTAGCACGGGCTAGAGAACATGCCGCCGCGTTCGACTGCAAGCGTGTACAATGTAATAATTAATAATTTAGATAAAAAAGTTTCCGAAACCTGTCATTTGTATAAAACTAACCGCTTCGCTTTGGTTTCCTTTCAGATGTTCGTCGGGTTTGTGCGGTCGCGGTGAACCGAAGCGAGGCGAAACGGTGAATCTAGGAGCGTGATAGTGTGATTTGTGCGTGTGTGACTAGGGAAAAAGAAATACGTAATCGGACCAAATTTTGCAACTGCTCGACACAATGAAGGTCACGACAGATCGAAGAATTCGCGGGTTGGTGCGGTGCTTCCAGTGCCTGCTGGTGGCATGGTGCTGTGATCTGGGCCTCGGAGTGGAGTGGGACCACATGGTGGACTTTGATCACAACTACCGACTGCTGTGGACAGCCAACAGTCAGGATATAATGTTCGAGATGCAAGTCCGGACGCATGGATACGCGGGATTGGGATTCTCTCGCGATGGAACGCTCGCTGATTCGGATATCGTCATCGGATGGAATGAGCAGGGCAATGTGCATTTTCAGGTAAGTTTGGGTTGGATTTTGATGAAAGAAGTCGATACCAGCAAGATACTTCCGCTATATTTTATGATGAAATAAGAAAAACTAGTCCTTTAAACTGACCTCAGTCTAAAGTCAAAGGTCGAATTTAAACTTTCCCAACAAACAATTTTAGCTGCAGACTAGCTTATACAGGCAAATATTAGCTGTATAAGCCAATTTTTGGCTGTATAAGCTAATCTGCAGCTAAAATTGTTAGTTGGGTTGTATGCTAATATTTCGGCAGGCATTTGATGGATTTTTGAATTTCATTTACCAATTGAATTTCACATTTAATTAATCTTGGCAAGTTTTTCACTGAGATCCAGCAAAATAAAATGCGGAGCTGCTCGGTGGTGCCCATCTCGGCAAAAAAAAATCTAAGTGTGTAGTTTTCATCATCCATAAGTAATTGACTGATGCTCGCTCCACAGTGTTCAAACAGTTTAAAATCGGGTCTTGATTAGCCTCCGAAAGTTTGAACTCATTTAGAAAAAAACCTGAGTTGGCACAAACCATTTGAAGTTTATATGGCAATTACTATGGAAAACCAAACTTTTTGTTCATTGTCTTCTAGCCTTTTCCATATTGTTCTGTTAACAAGTTCTATTGGGAATTTTTATCAGCTACAACTTTGTACAAAATCGTTTTTCAGCCAATCGTCAAATTAAATAGTTATTATTTGTTTAAGAGATTGAAAATCTTATGGCAAGATTAAGCAACTGTATTGTGGGCAACACTGTATTCTGCAGTATGACATAGTAGCTATGATTGTTGCCCTCTATTCTACACGTCATAAACACAAATGTTGCCTGCTGAACAGTTGATTGAGCATAATCATAAGACATCAGTAACTTGAATAATTAATACACTGAAATCTTTTATTACACGTTTTTATTTTACGCGGTTTTTTTACACGGTTTTTCGCGATTTACACGGTACGTTTTAAACGATTTCTCTACAACGATACAACCTATTGACTTGATTCCAATCACATTATCCGTTCCAAGCTATAGGTAATCAAATGGCATACTTAAAAAAAAAAATCACAATTTTTGGTGTCAATACAGAAATTTTTAAAATATGTCTATATAGACCATAACATGCTATAATTACAAATGGCATCAAATTCGGTTTTTAAAAACATTTAAACTTGTGAAAAATCAAAATCTCGTAGTTTTTTTACACGTTTTTTTTTTACACGGTACGTATCCCCCGTGTAAAAAAAGACCTGAGAGTAATTTGTGTTCCTTACATTTGATCGAACAACAGTGTTGTAGCTAAGAAAATTTTCAACAAACACAGTTATCATTTTCGTAAGTAGAGTGAACTGGTGAACTTTTAGATAGATATGAACCGAAATTTTGATTTCCCCATAGTAATTCCCATATAAACTTCAAATGGTTTATGCCAAGTCAGTTTCTTACTAAATGAGTTCAAATTTTGGGAGGATTATCAGGACCCAATTTGGAACCGAACTGTGGAGCGAAAATTTCAAATTTTGCATCAGTCTAATAAGTATAAGCCCACCGGCCTTGGTCAGCAGGTTGGCCTACAGCTTTCGAGAACGGGTTCTAGCTAAGGTATTCTGCTTGAGTGATCGATTTGGTTGCCTACTGGCACGCTGCACTGTACTACGGGCGGCATCATACTTTTACTCACATCGCGATTGGACATACCTGGGTTGCTTCTGATGGACCTCGCGACCTTTCCATGGAGCTGACGGTTGGCAGTTCCACTCTGGCGTTTACTTTGAGGCTTCCGATTCGTCGTCAAGGTTTCTCTGTACGTTTTGAGCGCACGCCATACGGTTTTTATAGGAAAATTCAACACTTTAGCTAGCTTGGACGCAGACTACGACGGATTTTCCAGGTGACTGTGCTCGATTTTTTTTCTACGCTCCTCTTGGATAGTGACTGTCTCCAAAACAAAAGCGTTTTATGAATTGAAAAAAAAACCACTGGTTTTGTTATTGTTGTTGTCTACAAATGGACGTCAAAAACTTCCGAAGACGTCCGCTAGGAGCGCTGTAATTAGCAAAATAGTTTGTTCTATTACTAAGTTGGCCATGCACAATGGTGCGACTCCATAAAAAGTCTGGCCAAGCAAATAATTCTCTAAATAAAAATAAAAATCATGGGGTAATTCTAGGGTAATTTAGGGACGCTGAATCCAAATGTAATAAGTTTTGCATTATAACTTGTATTTTTTACGTTATAAACGATTTTTAATTTTTATACGTTGTAACTGTGAATAAAGGTCATGAAACAAGTCATACAATGAAAATTTTTGTTTTTTAACAATGCTTAGGAAACATTTTTTTTATATTTTCCTAACATATTCCTATCAATAAAGTTTTTATAGTTGAAGATGCTAATTTCAAATAACAGACTGTAGTGGTAATTTTTATACGATAGATGGAGTAGATGAAAGCATAGAGTTGATAGTTCCGTTAGAGTACGGCAGTGTGAAGATTGCATATAGATATTAGAATAGCGAGCTAGAACAACTTTTAAGAAAGGTACAAATCGGTAAAAAAAAAAAAGTTTTTATATAAATTAAACAAATTAAAAATCAAAATTTGTTAAATTTGTAATTTCCTTCTTCTTAAACCTCTTCCTCATCATCAGCATCATCATATTCTTCTTCTTTTCTACTTCTTCACCATCATCGTCATCATAATCATCATCATCATCATCTTCTGGAACCTTATCGCTTGAGTCAGTCTTTGTCTTCGTCAGAAATTTAACTTCCTCTGATAGACTTTTAAAATTATGTTTTTCCTTCTCATAATAAGAGTTAACCATTATATCGGTGTTACTAAGATGGCGATTAATAATATGCCAATTTGTGTTTTCATGCTTGTCTTTCCGAGTGAAATACTCTGTAGTGTTTTTAATGACGTTGTTACATTTTTCTTGATCCTCCTCCGTCATTCTTCCAATCGGAAATATCACCGCCTGAACAATGCTATGCCCGTGAATCGGAATTCTGTGCATCGACGACGGCATGTTAAACCACGCGTTTAACTCTACGTAGCGCTTCGCGGTATCAACACAGTAAATTTTGAATTTAGCTGGGTCTATTTGCTGGGAACAAGAAATTGCAATGAGAATGCCTTTTAATAAACTCCAAGTCTACTCCTGTGATTTAGGAGCTGATTTCAGGATTGGCAAAAAAACTACAAGCTGTATTGCCGTCATTGCTGTTGCCAAATCCTCCTGGCTCCGTTTTGTCGACAATCAGACCCATTTTGCGTTTGAAGTTTACCTGAATTCCTTTCTTGTTCGTCTCGAACTGCATTTCAAAACCAGATTTTCTCCAGCGTCTGAAGCTCAGTTGATATGCATTATAAAATGCTCTTCCTTACCATGTTGCAATCGGGGTTCAATAGTACTTTCTAGCAGCAGCAGTAACCTTTCAGTGGTTTTATTTAGAATCGACTGGAGATCAATCTTCACATTGAATTATGCGTCAAAAAATGCGTTTTGTGGGGGATAACATTCCTTTTTTGCTCTTTGTACTTGGTAGTACGAATAATAAAACCATTGTATATTGCATACAAACTCCATACTTTAAACTTAATACCTGTTTTTTACTGATTCCCTAATAATGTTGTAACTATATCTCGTCAGTTTTGCAATCACTAAAATGGACAACGGCTTCTCAGGTGTGAATTGAGTGTTTTGGTTGTTGAGATCAATAGCCTGTATAATTAAACTTTCTGATTTATAATTGTGGTCGGCACGCAAACTCATTTCCGAAGCAAAGCTTGATTGATTTGAAAAATATTTTGCTCTAATTTCCTCAGTACGGCGCCGCTTCGATCGATCACTGCATTATTCAAAAGTTTGTCCAGATTTTCCTAGCCGCCGAGGAGCATCAGATGGTGGTATTGCATATTCCTCTTACCAATCTAAATGTTCCTTGTCAAAGCGGTCACGCTTCCGTTGGGATTGTAGAAATTTTCTGTTGAATGCTTTCCAAAAAATCTCAAACTCTTTATTATTCGCATTAGAAGGAAAGCACTTCTCCGCGGCTGCTTTGATCTTTTCTAGCGATTCATGATATTTCATGTTTCGTAAATTTGTTCTCTTTTTTAGTCCGTTTAATTTAGATTAAATGAAACAAAACGATTTTTAAAACGGTATTGAAAAGATACTACGAAATGTTAGATCACTATTTCACAAAAAAAAAACTTATTGTCACGGTACGGATCGCAGTGGTTAGACAGTTAGACAGTGGTTATTCGGGGTTCATCGCAATTAATTTGTTCTCAAAACGGCAACTTACTTGTATTTAAATTATCCGTATCACTGATTTGGATTCCATAATTAATTTCGATGATAACTGATATAACAATAACTTTAAACCGAGTAAACATAATTGTAAAATATATAGGTAAACTGATGCCGATATCTTCTTGCTGCTGCTGCTACTTGGTTTGGAGAGAGATGAAGTGGTATTTCCTTTTACTAAAGACTCTCTGCCTTATCTCTGTTTGTTGAAAAACACAAAGAATAATGCAGACTGAATCGGGCCTTTGCAGATCAGTTTTGGTGCCAATTGAATAATCTCTATGTTTCGATGCTGTGTTCAAGTTCTTAGGAGAAGATAACCTTAGCCTAATGGGTCTTACACTAAATGCGTTATACATTTTTTATGATTTTCAAACCCCGTCCTTACATTTTTAGTAACAAATCCGAAAAAAATATGACGCTTGAGAAAATCTTGGAACTCTCTGTGCTTCCATAAACCATAACGTAATTAGTGTATGGCCCCTAACAACAGAAAATGGTTGATGAATGATGTATAGATAAGGCAAAATTGGCTGTTTTTATGCACTAAAAATTAGTAATTAACTAATCTTCTGATCGTGATTTAAATTTAAAAATTAAGTCTGCGTAAGATCAGGCTATGCTCATTCAAAACCTTACATTATACTACCTTTTGCAACTGGTGTCAACCATGGCAAACCCTGGCTT